TGAGCAGAAAGAGGAGCACTCCTCAGGAAGGAGGAACAAAACAGATCAAGAGGTCATGGGGGCAAGGAGGGAGGAAGAGGAGGAGAAGGAGGAGGAAGAGGAGTAGTTAACAGAGAGGAAAGAGGTCAACCAGCTGCAGCAAGTGCTGTTTTTAGGAGACTAGGGGCAAATAAAGGAAGGCCTTAGAAACTAGACAGCAAGACGATAGGCCTTAGGGAGGTTTTGTGAGTCCTAATTGGAGAAGCGATTTGATGAAAATGGCTTTTTAGGAATATTGATTATTATGTCATGCTACAGCCTTCAACTGGAGGGAGAAACTGAAAGAATTAAGAGTTGAGTTTGTTGTTGTCCTTCAGATGTGATATTTTTAAATTCTTAGATGGAATAATAACCCCTACCTCTAGGCTGCTATGAGAGAATGTGATGTGAAGTGCTTAGCACAGTGCCCAGCACACAGTAGGTATTCACTAAAGTGATAATGCTCTCTTTATTATCATCTCTCTGAAATTTGCCTTTGACATCAGGGGACCCCATTTCATGATCACCTTTGCTCTCCCCTGGAGAGAAGATACCTTGTCCATTTGTGTGCAGGAGCCAGGACACACACACTGATCTTTAGGTGGGAAGTGGGGGAGGAGCAGACTGGAGAGAGGGTAAGCAGGGGCCTTCCCTAAGTCTCCTCCCTCTTCCCTGCCTTGGCTCATTCCCTCTGACAGCTTAAAGGAAGCTACCTATCCTCTCTGACCTGGAACAGGAAGCCTTCTCCCCAGCATCTGTCCACAGAGATTCAGGTGGTGAGGAAGCCGCACCAGGATCCGCATTCACTGTACCAATCTCGGGGAGGCAGGAAACCAGGCCTATGGGCACGTTCAGTCATCTCTTCCCTCCACAAAAGCAGCTGCCCCATGTCCCATCACTTGCCATCAACCCATCAGGATGGTGCCATTGCCAGCTCCAGGCTGGAGCCCTCCCTTCAATCTGCCCAAGAGTGGGACACCCCTTCCCCTCCTCCTCCCACCCTCCCTCAACTTCATGAGATGTCATCCTCTCAGGTCTACAGTCAACCACCCCTCAGGGTGGTGGTGGAGACACAGTGGGCTCTGTCCTATTCCAATAAATGTCATGGCCTACTATGGGACTGAATTGTGTCCCCCCAAATTTGCATGTTAAAGCCCTAGCCCCCAATCCCCAATGTGATGATATTTGTAGGTGGGGCCTTTGATGATTATGTTTTGGCAAGTCATGAGAGTGGAGCCCTCATAACAGGATTAATGTATATGTGTGTGTGTGTGTGTGTGTGTGTGTGTATCTCTGTCTCCTCTCTTTCTCTCCCTCTTTCTCTATGTGAGGAAACAATAGGAAGGCAGCCATCTACAAGCCAGGAACAGAGTCCTCACCAGAACCAAATCGTGCTAGCACCTTGATCTCTGACTTCCAGCCTCCAGAACTGTGAGAAATAAATGTCTGTCACTTAAGTCACCTAGTCTATGGTATTTTGTCATAGCAACTCGAGAAGACTAAGACACTGTCTGAGTCCTGGTTTGAAATAGTGGAAGTCAGTCCAGTCAAAGGAAATCTTGGAAATAAGGTCACCTTTTACCCATACCTCTTCCCAGGTGGGACAAGGGCTGAGCCTGACTGATGGCCCAGGCAGGAGGGAGGCTGGGGGAGGGAAGGGTGACTAAGAGGACAGGAGTTTCTTCTGTCTTCAAATGAACAAGCCCAACACCATAAAGGGGCCCCATAAATCATGCTGGTTCCTGAGGAGGTTCACCAAGTAGGCAATGCTTCCAGAACCATTCCCTCAGTAGAAGCAGCCACCTTAGACCATGAATAGAGGTCACACGCTGCAATACCACAAGATAAAAGGGGCTTGGGTCCTGAGGAATTTGTGGAGAACGGCTGCCCTACCAGCCCTGGACTGCCAACTTCTAGACATCAATGGGAAGGGAAAATGCACTTCCGTTTCTTTTAAGCAACTATCTTTTGGTCTCAGTAACCCACAACCAAATATAATCACAACTGATACTGTGTTCAGTAACTATTGGCTGCTATCTGTCACATGATTACAACTATTTAACGTCTGTCTTCCCACTAGATTGTAAGCATGAGGGCAGGGACCCTATCTACCTGGTTCAGTATATCCCCAAGGCCCAAGCCAGTGCCATACACACAGCAGGCACTCAATCAGAGTCTGCTGAATGAGTGAGTCAGTAACCCCTGTTCATACCCTTCTTCTCCCTGGGCCTGAGCACAACCTTGGGACATCTTTTCCTTAAAGGTCTCACTTAATGCTCATCTCCCAAGGAAAATCTTCCCTGTCACACCTCACTTCCTTCTGGCTCCTCCTCTTGCAGGTCCCATGTTACGTAGATGAAGTTGTCCTGCTATTGTTATGCTATTTGGAGAGCATTCCCTACTTAGTCCCTGGATGCTTATGTCCCTGCTTAACTGGACGGTAAGCTACTTTGGCAGGGAAAACACACTTTCAGTTTTTTAATCACTGGGAACCCTAACCCCAAGTCCTCATAAACGCATATAGTGGACAAAAGGTGCTTCATGAAGAAAGAAAGAGAGGGAGGAAAAGCTGACAAGGCCCCACCACTCAGGAGTAATGTCTGCATTTCAAGTTAGGGAGGGTGATTATTTATTTATTTATTTATTTATTTATTTATTTATTTATTTATTTATTTATTGGTGAGGAAGATTCGCCCTGAACTAACATCCGTTGGCAATCCTCTTTTTTTCCTCCTCCTCTTTTTTTACTTGAGGAAGATTAGCCCTGAGCTAACATTTGTGCCCATTTTGCTCTATTTTTTGTATGTGGGATGCCTCCACAGCGTGGCTAGTGAATGGAGTATCCAAACCTGTGAACCCAGGCCGCCAAAGCAGAGCACACAGAACGTTAACCACTCAGCCACAGAGCCAGCCCAGGAGGGTGATTTTTAAAAAGGAGCAATAAGTAAGATCAAAAAAGAGCAGTCAGAATGGTAGCGAGCAAATAAGAGAGATGATTCTCAAGAGCCTAACTTTTGGAAAAAATTTCAAAGGCAGGTTGGTGTGTGGAAAGGGGAAAAATAAGGGATTCAGGGGACCTTGGACGGACTTCCATTAGCCTTGGGTGAGTCACTTCACCTCTGAGGATCTATTTCCTTATTTTTCCAGTTAGAAGTTCTGACTCAATCATGGTCTTCTGGTTGTACTCCAAGGAGCCCAGTTAGAGGCTCCAAGAAAGCTGGAATCCACCCCTCACCTCAGCCAGAGAAGCTCTGTTCCCTTAAGCTTCATGCATTGGCTTCCCCACAGAATTTAGTTTGAGCAAAAGGCTGTAGGGCTAAAACAAAGTTTGAAAACCACTGGAATCAATGACCCACCCCCCCAACTACATAAAGATCTCTGGTTTTATGATTCAACCAGTTCACCCTCAAAGCTGGACTTCTCCTCAAAGAAGAAAAGGTACATATGGGCCTTGGTCTCATCTCCCCAGCCAGACTATAAATTCTGAGAAGACCAGATCTGGGCCCATGGTTCTCAGCTTCCCATGTGGACTCATGACGTCTCAGCCACGGCTGGATTTATAGATGTTCCACAAAGTTCTGTGGCTGGATGCCCCGACAGTCAGGGCAGCAGAAAGGCTGTGAGAAGAAGTATCTCATCCACCTTGGGGAGTTCTCAGGGATATAGGGACCCCCATACTGGCTTGACTGGGCCCCTGAGCTCCAATATAAGTGTTTCTGCTCACATATGTACGTCTTCAACTTCACCACATCATCTCTCTCCTTCTTCCCAATCTCTGGTTTTCCTGTCTTGCTTTTTCCACTTGCCTCTCCCCACTCCTCTGCCCTCCCAGCCTGAGGTCTGTGGTCCCTCTAACTCTGATCCTTTCCAGGGCCTTGAGCTGGAGTCCTGGGTATGGAGCCCAGGGTTTGAGCAGGGAGTCAGTGAGATGACAAGAACAAGCAGGGCTGGGGCTGGCCCGGTCGCCTAGCGGTTAAGTGTGCGCGCTCTGCTTCAGCGGCCGGGGGTTTGCAGGTTCGGATCCCCGGCGCGCACCGACCCATCACTTGTCAAGCCATGCTGTGGCGGTGTCCCATATAAAGTAGAGGAAGATGGGCATTGATGTTAGCCCAGGGCCAATCTTCCTCACAAAAAAAAAAAAAAAAAGAACAAGCAGGGCTGAATCAGATACCAGGGACTTTGCACTCAGGGGAGAGTCACTTAAAGGGCCCAAGTCAAGAAACAAGAACCATAAACAAAATGTGATATATGCATACAATGGAATGTTATTCAGTCTGAAAAAGAAGGAAATTCTGACACATGCTACAACGTGGATGAACCTTGAGGACATTAAGTTAGGTGAAATTAGCCAGTCACAAAAAGACAAATACTGTATGTTTCCATTATTTGAGTAGTCAAATTCACAGAAACAGAAAGTAGAATGGCAGCTGCCAGGCGCTGGGGGGAGGGGAAATGGGGAGTTGTTGTTTAATGAGTATGGAGGTTCGGTTTTGTAAGATGAAAAAGTTCTGGAGATTGGTTGCACAACAATGTGAACATACTTAACACTACAGAACTGTACACTTTAAAATAGTTAAGATGGAAAATTTTACATTATATGTATTTTACCACAATTTTTTAAAGAAGAAGAAGCAGCAAAGACTATTTGAGGCATCCCTGCTAACCCGCTTCCTGCTTGCCACCTGGAGGTGAGATAAGGTGGAGAGTGAGCCTTGGAAGGAAACGAAACTCCCCTTGATTACAACTCCTCAAACTGCAGGCCCTTCCAGAGTTCTCTGCTCATGTGTCTGACCCTCATATTTCTAGATCCACAGGAAGCCCCTGTCTCTCAGCTCCCAACTACTACTCGTTTCTCTGGGGAAGATACACGAGGCCTCAGGTGTCATTATCACACACACACAAACCCAACTCGATTAATTAATTAGTTTTAAAAACAACTCAGAGACTGGTCGGAACCCGGGAACTTTTTATTTACGGGGAGGGCTGTGGGCCCATGAAGTCCTCGGGCTGTGGGGCAGTGGTAAGGCCAGGACTCCAGCTCCGCTCAGTCACTCTGGGCCTCTCACTAACTCCCCCTGGGAGGGCTAAGGCCAAGGGCCTGGCACCTGAAAGAAAGTGCTAGATGGAAAAGGCATCTCACCCTCCACACCCCAGCCCCTTATCGCAAACCCCACCAAGCCAGGGGAGCGCAGGGAAGGGAGTGAAAAGGAACAGGGTCAAGAGCCCAGGCCAGGACACTCTCTTCCACCTGCGATCCTTCCTCACATACAAGGGCCTGTACAGGGGGCCGCAGGCCTGAGGGAATGGTGTTGCCTTGAGAGACCTGGGAGAGGCAGGAGGATGTGACTGATGAGGGTCAAGATAGGGTGCAAAGATACAGCGCAGGAGGGCAGGAGGCAGGGCAGGAAGGGAATGAGGGGCCGAGATGGGAGCAGGAGAGCGGAGGGGAAATGATGGGAGGGGCCAGGCTGCTCTCATGATCCCCTGTGGTTTCCTCTTAAGGGCTTGGGGCCCGGACAGAAGAGCTCTGGGGCATGTGGCGTTGTTCCAAAGCCCCAGTGTGGCCCCAGAAAGGACCAGGAGGGAGAGGCTGCACTCACCCTGGAGGGGCCTGCTTCACCCAGACATGATGTGCTTGACAAAGGCTGGGAAAGAAGATGGAAATCAGCCACTGCCCTTGCCCCGCTCTCAGCTCTTTACTGCCCCCTCTGTTCCCTTAAGCCCCTTCCCCCTTTCCTGTACTGCCTGACTTCAAACTTTCCCACTACCCCGTCTCCAGACTGTGATTTTCTCTTATTTGGGGGTTGGCGGGAAAAGGTGGAAGAAGGGATGAGACCTAACCTCTGCTCTGTGTCCGCTCTGTGCTGACACTCGACATAGATGAAATGAGCTACACTACCTCTACCAATCCCCGCAACCTTGAGAAAGGTGCCTGCATCACCTCATTCCTCAGATGAGAAAACTGAGACTCAGAGAAGGTAAGTGACTTGACCAAGGTCACACAGCTACTATATCACAGAGCCATCTCCAAAATCCATTCCTTTATACCAGGATGGAAAAGAACAACATCTGGTCAGGAATTCACCAAAGCCCATCTGGTGCATGTGTCCTCTAGATCCTGGATCTGTTCTGTTCCATAGACCCACCTGGCCCTAACTGCCCGCCCTCCTATCTCTGGGTGCCCAGGGAAGCGAGGCACACCCTGATACCTTCGTAATTGATGCAGCCATTGGCATCTTCTTGCCCAGCCAACAGCTGCTCCACTTCAGCTTCAGTCATCTTCTCTCCTGGGATGGGGGACAGTGGGCACTTAATTACAGATGGCAAAGGAGGGACAGGCAAAACCAAAGCACCCCCTCAAGTCTGAAGGCCCAAGACTCCCTGATCTGGGAAGTGGTCATATCAAGCCTCCCCCAAAGGCATTGGAAAGTGGAACCCAGGGTCTTAAAGCCCTTCCTAGTCCCCGAGCCCTTTCCCTCTGCCTTACAGCCACCACTGGGTGAGCAGACCAGGGCCCCAGTGACCAAGGCAAAGACAAGGATAGGAGCCCTGGGTCCCATCTCTCACGGCGCAGCCCAGCTCTGCCAACCTGTTCTCCTCTCCTCCCAAACCCTGCTGAGCAAACCCACTTGGGGAAAGTTATTCCTGCTGAGCCCAGGGAGACAGGGCCTGGATCAGGATGTGATCCTCATGATGCAGGGACCCCCACACACCCCCAACATATGCCACCTGGGCAGCTCCCACTCCTCCATCCCTCCCACTTGGGCTCCGCTTCTGCCCAGCTGGCATACCCAGGGTGGCAAGGACATGGCGAAGCTCAGCGCCCATGACTGTGCCGTTGCTCTCCTTGTCGAAAACACGCAGCCCCTCCACGAAGTCCTCGTAGGTGCCCTGCTCCTTGTTGCGGGAGATGTGCTGCAGGATGGGCAGGAACGTCTCAAAGTCCAGCATCTTGGCATTCATCTCTTTAGACAGGCATGGGGAAGGAAGAAGAATGTGATGTGAGCAGAAGCTCAAGGGGCACAGAGGGTCAGGAGGGGGCCTCACCCCAGCTCTGCCAGGCTAGGACCCATCCCTCGCAGCACCCAGGGCTTAGCTGCAGCCACTTCTGGGTGGGGCACCCAGTCAGTGATCCTGGAGGGCACAGAGCCCAAGAGAGCAAGGCAGGAGACTGGCTCTGCGGCCCTCTCCTCAGTGAAAGGACTATGGCCCAAGGGAAAAGGGCCGTGACTCCACCCAGACCTCTGAGCTCCAGGTGGCCAGCTAGGCTGGGGGGTGGGGAGTGCGGAGGGTGGCAACAGCAGGATTTGAGGGGCCCAAAGGGCTGCACAGCCCAGGCCTCACATTCACAACTTAGACTTTTGACACGTGACAAACATACAGTCACAGAGGTGAACTGACAAGGTTGCAAAAAGAAAATTTTGCAAAACTCCGCATTTGGGTCCCATTACTGCACCACACTGCCTGGAGCTTCTCTGAATCAATAATTTTCATAAATTTGTGATTCTCTTGTAACTAGCACACTTTTCCCACATTGTAGTGTGTTAAAGGCTTTAATCTAATAGATGTAAAGCATTTTTAAATAGCAAAAATTTTGGCATTTCTTTCTTGTATAACAACCCAGAAGTCCGCCAAAATGGAAGTGCCCAGATATCTTTCGACCTCTAAGAAGGCCTGCTGACATGGGCAAGCTGCTGGTCCTCTAGCCCTTTCCCCCCACATCCTTCCCCTTGCACTAGTGTCTTCACCAGCAAAAGCAGAGGAAGGAGCCAGAACCAAGGAAAGGGGAAGGGGACCAATATGGGGCCCAGGAAGCCTTCAGAGATGGCCCACCCTGGGTGGGGGGCTCCTACCTGGGTCTGCCTGGACTCACCTAGTGCCTACACCTCCGAGGAGAAGGATGTGTATGTTAGGGCAACTGTTTACTGCCTCACATGACAGATAACATTCACAAACAGGACACACTCCCTGGCATCACTTTCTAAACTCATTCACCAAATGCAAATGAGTGAAAGAGGCATCATTATAGAGCTAATCTCGAATCTCCTCTAATTTATATTAAACGAATAATTGCAATCTTTGGTGCTCGAACTATTATTGGAAACAAATTATTTGTGATACAACTCATGATGGTCCAGGACATCTCAGTGCCGTGACATCTCCATTGAGCCTACTGGGTGGGGGAGAGTGGGGGCGGGGGGTAGTTGTCAGATTCCCACTAAGCCTCTCTGCTTGGTGTCCCTAACACCCTGGGGTGTCAGAGGAAGACACTGAAGCAATAGAATGTTGCTCCTGCCCTCCAGGAGCTCCCATCTCATGGGTAAAACAAGAACTAGCCCAGGCCACATATTTCTCCAGTAAACTAAGTAAGGGGGGAGCCTTACAGATAAATTCTCACCTTAGGAGGCAGGTAACCTGGGGAGAGGAGGCTAGCTTTGAAGAGCTAGAGGGAGAGAAGGGAGAGAAGGGAGAGAGCTGCTGGCAGGAGGTAGATCTGGGTGAGGAGACCCAAGGGCGGCAGGGCAACACTGGGAGGTCGAGCAGCCAGGCCCACACTGACCTTCGGCCTTGGGCTTGCCCAGGACTCGCAGCACCTCGGCGTTGGTGGGGTTCTGGCCCAGGGCCCGCAGCACGTCCCCACACTGCCCGTAGGTGATCTTCATCTCTCCAGTGGGGGTCCGGTCAAACAAGGAAAAGGCCTCTTTGAACTCTGCAGAGAGAAGACCCTGCTGCAGCCCCCTGGCCCGAGTGAAGGAAATGGATGGGGGCTGATCAGCTTCCCCTAGACTGGAGAGCAGGTCAACGTGGTTGATAAAATATTTCAATATTTCCCTTCAGCCATCGTCCTAACCCCTCTCTGGAACCTGCTCCCACCTTGTCTTCTGACAACTGAAGAGGCATCCTGGAGCCTCCATGACCTGTTCCAGCACTGGGCCTGGGATCTCTTCTATTAGACAGTTGTCGCATAATCTTAGTGGCTCCCCTGCCTCTACTCCCTCCCATTCACCCATCCCTCCCTGATGGATGTGAGGTTCCTAACTGTTGAAAATGGCAGGGAAGTGAAAACATCTCTGGCTCAGGAGTCAGGCTTCCTGGGTTCTCATCGTGGCTCTGGTGAGTACCTCAGGATGAGCCCACTGGTTCCCAGTCTCCCTGTGCACACACAGGAGCAACGGCTCCACCCCACTTCCCCTCCCAGGCAGAATATGGAGGCACTTTGCAAAGTGATAAGACCTGTTCAAAACTCAGCTAATATCAGTTTCAAGCTAAAAAGGGGGCTCCTAGTCCAGGCAAGCTGACATTGTGGAAACAGTCAGACCACCCCAGCTCAACCACTGATCTGCACATGGCCTTGGGCAAACTACTAACCTCTGTGGGCCCTCCTTTTCTTAGCTTTAAGTGGGGATACAATGTCCACCTGAGTGGGTTGCTGGGGAAATTACAAAGTGCGCCAAGCATGGCATCTAGCACATAGTAAGAGAATCAACAGGGGCCGGCCCCGTGGCTTAGTGGTTAAGTGTGCACGCTCTGCTACTGGTGGCCCGGGTTCAGATCCCGGGTGCGCACCAACTCACCACTTGTCCAGCCATGCTGAAGCGGTGTCCCACATACAGCAACTAGAAGGATGTGCAACTATGACATACAACTGTCTACTGGGGCTTTGGGGAGAAAAAGGGGAAAAAAAGGAAGAGGATTGGCAATAGATGTTAGCTCAGGGTCGGTCTTCCTCAGCAAAAAGAGGAGGATTGGCATGGATGTTAGCTCAGGGCTGATCTTCCTCACAAAAAAAAAAAAGAAAGAAAATAAACAAATGGTGGTTATTATTATATTTCCTGGTTCTGGAACCAGCTCAGAACTATAGGGACTAGCCTCCCTGAAGGTACAGGGTAGCTGTCCCAGGGGCAAGACTGAATTAAAGCACTCCTGGACCCTTTGCAAAGAACCTTAATTCCTCACTAATTTGGATTCAACCAATTTATTACTGGGGATAATTTGCCGAGAATGGTATTGAAGTTACATTATGCTATCAGCAAAGAAATGATTTACTAAGTAGATTAACAATATAAATCAAAGAAGAATGTGTGAACTACTTAGGAGAAAAGCTGCTTTTAATCCTCTCCAAGTACTTTAGAAACACTTATTTCCTTAAGAGGCTGCATATGGATTATTTACAAATCTCTCCACATATCAAAGCAAGTGCCCCAAGACTTTTACTTGCAACTCTTTATTAGGCTTTGTATGAATTTAAGAGATAAATGACCACATGTCTTTCACATTACTGAATAATTGAGTTCAAATTCCATTTCCATTGCTTACTAGCTATGTGACCTTGGGCAAGTAAATATTTAACCTCTATAAACCTCTTCTTTTCTATAAATGGCACTTACCTCATAGGGTCCTTAAATTACATTCAAATTAAATACAATAACGTATGTAAAACATCTTAACACAATGTCCTGCATATGGTGAATGCTTAAATAATGCTGTTAGCATTATCTTACCCAGTTTAATCCCAATTTTACCACTTAACTGTGTGATCTTGGCCAAGCCACTTAACCTCACTGAACTTTGGTTTCCTCCTCTGTAAAAGGAAATAGTACCTACCTCACAGATTTAATAGAAGGATTTAATTTTTTTTAACTTTTAAAGTACTTGGCACGGCTTCTAGCACAAATTCAGTGTTCAATAAATATATATTAGTTAGTTGAACTTGAACTCAGACTTTTTGATCTTCTCATAGTTCATTCAGAAGAGTAAGGCCACTCAATATTGTATACAAATATTGAATCACTATGTTGTACACCTGAAACTAATATAATGTTATACGTCAATTATACCTCAATAATAAAAAAAAGAAAAACACTAACATCTACAAAAACAGCAACAAAAAACTTCAAAAGAACCTAACCTTAAATAAAGCATGTGAATATAAAAAAAAAAAAAAGAAGAAGAAAAAGAAGAGTAAGGTCAGGTTTAATAAAAGAAATTATTAGAAGAATGAAAAAAGAAAGAACATAATGATACTATCGAGAGTGGAACATGATGGGGGAAGTCATAAGAACAATGCCCCATGATTTGAGCACTTAACATGGGCCAGGCTCTGAGCTGATAATTTTGCATGGATTATACCTCATTAATCTTTACAAAATATGCTATAGGTATTATTATCCTCATTTATAGGCCAATGTGGATGTGACTTCTGGACAACTTCAAGAAAATAACGAGGAGGAAGAAGAAGAGACCAGCTCTACCTGCTAATGGTCCAGCCTGCTGGGAAGCCAGGTACATACATAAGAACCAAAGACTGAAGTTTAGGATTGCTACTAGGAAAAAACAAAACTGTTTTTGAACAGTTGTGATCTTGAGGTGTGTGAGAGGTGATGTTCATGGGACCAGAGAAAACCTTTTCTCGATATCTGTAACAGTCAGCTGCTTGCTAGAGCAGTGAGCAATGGTGGTAATCCCTTTCTAGAAAGATATGGAAATCTGGAGAGGACTGGATAAGGAAGTCAAGGTTTAGAAGCTAGTTCCTAAGAAATTGGGGCCATATCACCTGGAGAATATAAAGTTGCAAAGGGATTTGATAACTATCTTCAAATAGATAAATGGAGGCTATCTAGAGGATGCTGCATAGTCAGAGAATTTCTGAGTTGAAAAGAACCAAATACCCTCATGTTGCAGATAAGAAAATTAAGGTTTACACAAATGACTTGCCCACAGTCTCATGGCCAATAGTGGCAGAATTTTATTTTATTTTTTTGTGAAGAAGATCAGCCCTGAGCTAACATCCATGCCAATCCTCTTTTTGCTGAGGAAGACTGGCCCTGAGCTAACATCCATGCCTATCTTGCTTTACTTTATATGGGGACACCACCACAGCATGGCCTGACAAGCAGTGCGTCGGCGTCCCCAGGATCCAAACCCAGGCCGCCAGCAGCAGAGCCCGCGCACTTAACCGCTATGACACGGGGCTGGCCCCGTGGCAGAATTAGAGCTAATACTAAAGTCTCCTGATTCTAAATAACTTTCTTTCCACCATAACATGAGGAAATCATCTTCAGCTTCACCAAAGAGCAAAGGAAGCGATAGCAGGGGTCAAGTTAAAGCAGAAACAATTCCAACCCAACATAAGGAACAATGTCCTCAAAGACAGAAGGATGAAGGACTAGAATGAGTTAGGCCCCTAGCCCGAAAATTTTCATGGAGAAGAGAAGCAACCAGCTGCCCAGCTGGCTTTGACCTTGATTTTCATTTTGGAAATGAAAAGTTTTATCAATAGCTCATTTCCTAGTCCTCACTAGTGCCACTGTGTCTGTATATACACGTAGGTATATATTTAACTAAAATGCAGTAAAAGTAATTTTAAGTTTCACAGTACTCCAAACTATTGACTGAAAGCGAGTGTCCACAAGGTATCACAAGAACAGAGTCAGATTCAATCCACTGGTTTCTTTGTGTGTGTGTGTGTGTGAGGAAGATCAGCCCTGAGCTAACATCCATTGCCAATCCTCCTCTTTTTGCTGAGGAAGATCGGCCCTGAGCTAACATCCGTGCCCATCTTCCTCTACTTCATATGGGAAGCCGCCACAGGATGGCCTGACAAGCAGTGTGCCAGTGCGCCCCGGGGATCCAAACCTGCGAACCCCAGGGCCGCTGAAGCAGAGCACGCGCACTTAACCCCTTGAGACACCGGGCCAGCCCCTCAATCTACTGGTGTCAAAATGCAACTGCCAGCTCTCATGCCCTATTTGTGGGTTCACTGGTATCGCTTTTTTGAAGGGCAATAACTATTCAATTTTATTTATTTATTTTGGTGAAGAAGATTAGCCCAGGGCTAACATCCGTTGTCAATCCTCCTCTTTTTGCTGAGGAAGACTGGCCCTAGGCTAACATCCGTTCCCATCTTCCTCTACTTTGTATCTGGGACACCTGGCACAGCATGGCTTCATGAGTGGTGCTTAGGTCCATGCCTGGGGTTCGCAGGTTCAGATCCTGGGCACAGACCTACATACTACATACATCTTCTAGGAAGATCCCTTGAGGAAAGCAAGCTGATATCCCCCAACTGGAAAGAACCTAAAGGTCTCTCAATGTAGGCCTGATTAAATTAAAAAGGTACATCCGTGTGTGAGAAGCTAAATAATTGTTTATAAATTTTTTTTTTATAATTTTTATTTATTTATTTTTCCCCCAAAGCCCGAGTAGATAGTTGTATCTCATAGTTGCACATCCTTCTAGTTGCTGTATGTGGGACGCAGCCTCAGCATGGCCGGAGAAGCGGTGCGTCGGTGCGTCGGTGCGTACCCGGGATCCGAACCCCGGGCCGCCAGCAGCGGAATGTGCACACTTAACCGCTAAGCCACGGGGCCGGCCCATAAATAATTATTTAAAAGAATGAATTAGAACCACTTGTATTCATTATTAAAAAAACCTCTAAACATATTATTAAATAAAATATCTTATATTATTAAATCCAGATATATATTAAGTAAAAGGTGTAGGACTGTATGTATCACAGACACATGACTCTGTGTAAACTTTGTACGTACACACATACATACCAGTATATCACTATATATTTTTCTCAAAGAAAATATAAAGACCTGTTAACAGTGATTGTCCTTGGGAGAGGAATCAACATGAGAGGAAAACAAGGGGAAAATATTTTCACTTTTCATTATTTACTTTTAAGTAGCATATGATTTTGTTTTACCATGTGCACGTATTAGTTTAATTTTTTAAAATATAGTATGTGCTTAAAGTCAGGGGGTTGGATCAGGTGACCTTTTAAGGTCCCTTCCAGCTACTATGATTTCGTGTCCTGGAGGCATTTGGTAGGAGAAACAGAGGGCTAAGCTGCAATGACAGTGACCCTAGCTGCAAAGTAGACACCATATGACAAGACATTTCATTCTCAAAACCCCAGACTCCCACAGAAGAGCAGCTTGAGGGTAACAGTCAGACTGGAGGGGGGAGACCTTGAGGTTTGTCTTGAAGCTGCACTTAATAACACTTTGTATAACTGAGAAAACAAATTGTCTTTCACAGGTGGACTAGGACACCCCAAGTCACCATTGGCCCTGCCACCGTTAGTGGGCGAGCATCTTGGCAGACTTCAGGATGAGGGGAGAGGAAGCTGGTAACCTCAGGAGGGCTTTCCAATAACAGGAACAGAAATAAGGGCTTCTAAATATCTTGGATAGTAGAGTTTTGGGGTGGAGGAAAAAAAAAAAAAAAACAGGCATTTTTCTTGTGCATCTATTATGTCCCAGGCAATCTGGTAGAGTAATGAGAACTCAGGTTTCAAATTAGATTGCCTGAGTTTGAATCCTGGCTCCACCACCAACTGCCTGTGTGAGACTGGGCAAGTCGCCCAACCTCTCTGTGCCTCAGCTTTATCACCTGTAAAATGGAGTGGTAATAGTCCCTACCTCACAGCGTTGTTGTGAGAATTAAATGAGTTAATCCACGTAAAGTGCTTAAGTAATAACATGTAGTAGGTGAAAGTGAGCAAACAGCAATGACAATGATGGTGATGAATATTACCGTGATGATGACAACAACTCCTCCTCCTCCTCCAGAAAAGTGCAACAGAGAGGATGTGTGGGGGGATCGTTGTACTCACCTTCGATCTGGTCAGCAGTGAAGTCTATCTGTGGGGAGACAAACACAGAGGAATGAGGGCTGGGACAGCCAAAGTCTTCCAAAGGGAAGCAAAAGTGGCTTCCACCACAGTCTGGTCACCTCCAGCAGGCCACTGACTAAGGAGACCACGGGCTAAGTGTAAAACACCAGTCTTCTGATGAATGGGCCACACTGATGGGCCCCAAAAGAAGGCAGCCTCCAATGCTCTCTCAATACCACTTGTTAAGTGATGGCTCCAAGTGAGAGGGAAAAAGAAAGAAATATTCTGGATAATTCTAGACCCTACACTGGCTCCCTATTAAAATTCCTTTGGATCAAATGTAAATTCCTCATCCTCACGAGCATAAACTGCCCTCACTTTCATCCTTTCAGTCTCTCCCTCCTCCACAATCCTCCTACAAGCCACACTTCCTCTCCCTTTGGGCGCCCACCACCCCTCATCCTTGGACTCCCTTTTATACCTCACGCTGACTTTCAATCCACCTCCTTCAATGAAGCCTTCCCTCACCCCACTCCATCCCAGCCCCTCCTTCAGCACAGGTCCCTCTCAGGTACTCTGGGGCAGCAGGGTAGTTCAGCTGGGCCCTCGGTGCTTTGCAACTGTTTTCCAGTCACACCTTTATGGGTACCCTGACTCCCTGAAGCCAAGGTTCCCACGGGGTAGGGATTTTTGTTACTGTGCATTGAAATGCCTGGCACAGAGTAGGCACTCAAAAAATATTTGTTGAGAGAAGGAATAAATTTTGAACTTCCTCCCCAATGCATAATAATTCAATGCTGAGTAGAGGAGAAAAAGGTGAGAGTGCTCGAAAATGAATGACAATGAACAATGATTAAATTATTCAATCTAATCTAGGATCTTGTATGTTACTTCATTGTGCTTATCTACCACACCCCCACTCCTCTCTCCACTGGTGGTGGTAACTAATCCTGGAGCATCCTCTTCATGCACCAGCCTTCCTAGCCCCAATTCTGCCACTTGTGCTGTGCCCACCCAGGCTGACCTCCGTTAATGAGGACCCCTGGGGGTGGCTGGAATGAGCTAGGACAGTGGGAGAGCAGTTATATTCTTGAAGCCGGGTACCTGAGGGTTGCTGTAAATATTCAATAAGAACATGATTAACTTTCAACCTTATTCCCAACAGACAGATGAAAAGAAGTTAATCTTACTAATTTGCTGTTTTCTCGTTTAACCTGAGGGGTGACTCAAGGGTCACAAAGATTTATGAACTTGTTTTGTAGAAGAAAAAGAATGCCTTTAAGGAAGTTATGATCACCAGATAACCAGCCCCCAGCTGACACCAGAAGTCTGATTGCCCAAGGGCTTATCTGAAGTGAAAGAAACACAAATTTCTTCTTTGTTTGTCCAAAACTCCTCCTCCCAAGCCTCTTAGCTCTACAAAGCCCCCTGCTTTCTTCTTTAGTGAATGTGGATTTGAGAGAACCTATCCTCCCACCTTCTCATTTTGGCCAATTCAAATAAACCTGTCTCTACCTCCAAGCACCAGTGTCTCAGCAATTGGTTTACTGCTCATTCAGGCATACAAATTTGAGATTAAGAGGTTCGGTTTCACTCTCCTGGGTTGCAGAGGGGTGGGAAGGGAAGCGGCTGTGCCCAGGAATGGACTTTGCCAAACTGGGGGATGTGGTAAGGAAGTTAAAGGAACCCCCTAAATGGGCTAAAGGATGTTTTGCATTAACTCTCAGGGGAAAAGGTGCAGTTAGCCTTACTTTGCAATTCTTTAAGGAGTACATGTGAGAGAGAAATTAGTATAAAAACATAACAGCAGAATATGTGCTCGTCTCCACACACATTGGGCTTAAGTTTACTTTTGCTCTATCTTTGAGCAAAGAATCTTCTAAGCAAAGAAACTGGATAAATACAATAATAGAGAAAATAGCCCTCATGAAAGACACCTACATTTTTTTCCCCACTTTGAAACGACCCCTAGGATTGGAAGATCTAGACATGGAAAAGAGGATTGCAACTGGGGGGAGAAACTGGAAGAGGTGGGTGGATGGAGGGAAATGATAGGCCAGGGGGAAGGCACTTGTCTGATACCACTAGGAAGCTGTTTCCCAGTCACCAGGGACCAGGCCTGGCAGCAGGTGTCCCACATGAGTAGAGCATTATCAGAACAAATCAGAAATAAAGGCGTCCTGACGGGGGAGAAAGTCAGCTTTTGTTGCCAGGCTCTGCCCATAGAAGGAGTGATGTAAGACCTAGAGAATCTTCAAGTACTTTCAAGGTCTTATACTATGCCTCAGTTTCCCCAGAGTGGGCCATAACCAAGCCCAGGGTGGGGCAATTGCCTCCATCTCTTGGCCAAGCCAGTTGTGCTTAACTCCTACCCCTTGTAAGGGTTACCATAGATCAACCCCAGGGTTCTTGGCACATTTTCAGGGTCTCCAGGGGCCATGGGTGCTGGGAGGAATCCTGAGATGGCTCGGGAGGGTCATCCAATCAGATCCCTGGGTTTTAGTTTCCCTGCCTACTTGTCACAGAACCTGGTCCTGAGCTCCTATTTTGATCTGATTCCTCACCGCCCCCAGCCCTGCCCTAAGGCTGATATCCTCAGGGGCCCACCACTCCCAACCTGTTATTAATAGCTCTTCATACCAGTTGCCACTTGACCTCTTACATTCTGGTGCCAAGGCTTAAAGCTGCTTCACTCTCCAGGGGCCTCTGATCCCTCCTTCCTCAGCCCATCCCCTCCCAGTTCCATTCCTTCAGCAGCTGGGCCAGATAGTTGGGAGGCCTGAAATGACTGAGTCAGCAGGCAGGGCCTACACCAGCTCCAGGGAGAGGAACCTTCCAGTGTGAGGGGAGCAGAGCAGGGCAGAGAGGGAATAGGCCTGGGGCAGCAGAGGGGACCAGGCCCAACTCCCTCACCGGGTTAGAAAGAGGGTCTCAGCCTGGGATGGGCCAGTCCTCTGCATACTCCAGATAGGAGGCCAGGCCAAGGCCACAGAAGGACCAGCCCAGCTGGGTGTGGAAGAGGAGAGGGAACCAGGCTCTCTCACCTTATCTATGGCCTCCCTGCCCCCCAACCCCCACCCACTGCAAGGGTCTTTGCGAGTGAAGCCTTTCTCAGACCCCCAGCACACATGGCACATGCTCCCTTGCTGTTGACCTCTTACTCCAAGTTACAGTGGCAGTTATCATTATGTGTCTTTTCTTCCATAAAGATATCATACTACCTTGGAGGAAAGGGTCAGTCTTTTTCACTTTGCTATGGTGGCCCCCACAGCGCCTCAAAAAAGGTTGGATGGTTGGTTGGTTTGTTGCATCTCCCTGCGATTCCCAACTCTGCTGGGCAAATTTGGGATGACAGAGCAGAAACCCATTCTTGAGGGGAAGGCCTACAACCCGAAATACCCCTCACCAGCCCCAACACCTGCTCCACTACCCCGTGGGACTGTGAACTGGGGCATGGACACCATAGCCCTCACCCCAGTCCAGCCTCCTTGAAGTAGATCTCTAAGCTTCAGGACAAATAGGATCCTGAACGCCGTCCCCACCCCCATCCCAGTGCCTGAGGCTCACTCACCTTTACACTCTTGGGGTCAAAGGCAGGTTCCTTGGTGGGCTCAGGAGCTGGAGCAGGGGCTGGCGCTGTGGCAGGGGAAGGGGCTGGGGCTGCCTTGGCGGCTTCCTTCTTAGGCTCAGGCTTCTTGGGAGGCATGTTGTCCCGCTGGGATCTTCGGTAGAGGTGGGACCTAGGAAAGAATCAAGAGATGCGGCGCCTGGGAGATGAGATGGGAGACTGGGCTGCTTCCCTCCCCTTTTATTCTGGGCAGGAGCCCCCACAGAGGGGCTGAGTGAGAGCAAGAGCAACTGCTGCTGACTATAAAAGGAAGAAACACCAGCAGGGCACAGCTGACAACTGTGTATTGTCACCAGGTTTGGGGCTACCAGCCCCCTCGCCCTCCCCCCACACTGCACACGCCACATGGCCTCCACCTCTGGGACAGGCTGACCCCTTCCTGCCAATTGGTGGAAACCCAGAGGGGCCAGGAAAACAGACCCTCTCAAAAATGCCAGCGTCCAGCCAGAGAGATGAGCTGACTTGAGCAGTTGATAACCCTCACACAAAGCCCAGGGGAGGGTCAGGCTTTTTTTAGCCCCTCCTGAGCAGAGGCAGCCCACTGCACATTACTTTTAAGCCAAGATCCTTTAAGCTGAGAGCCACTCTGGGGCCTCGGCTCTGCCCTGAGTCTCAACTCTCCAGCCTGGAGCCCTGAAGCAGCAGCTGGTCCTGCTAAGCCACACTGTCCCGCAGCCTCCCAGGCCACAGGGTGAAACTCTCCATCTTCCAGAACAGGCATCCCAGGAACTCCATAGACCTCAAATCCCCAGCCAACCTCAATCATTCCTTCAACAAGTATTGAGCTCTTAACTTTGCCTAGTGGGGGCCAGGGTGAGAGGCAGAGAGGTGTGGCTGAAAGTCAATGAGACTGGAGGTCAGAAAACTTGGGTCTCGTTTTTACTACACCTCTATCTTGTTTTGTGCCCCTGGATATGCGTGTGTGTGTGCATGTGTGTGTGTATGTGTGTATGTGTGTGTAGTGCTTACTATGTACCAGGCACAGTACAGTAATAGGTTAAATCTTATTCATATCAAATCAAATTAAATCTTCATTATTATTACTCCCATTACACATGGGGAGATTGAGACTAAAACTGGTCACTCAGCTAATTAGCTATGAGCTGGATTAGAACACAGGTATGTCTGATTTTAAAGTGTATGCTTGAATAATTGATATTATAATCCCAATTATGGGAGGACACATATGTTTGTGTGTTCACCAGAAAGGTCAGGATGAACACACACTAAACTGTTAACGGGAGACACCCCTGGGGACCTAGGGGGTGAGGACAGGAGGATGATAGCAATTTGCAGTTTTTTACTTTTTTCACTTCCTGTATTAATGGAAATTTTTATAACAAGCAAGTGCTGTTTTTGTAAAAAATGTTGAAAGTCACTAAAATGTTCAGAAAACAACAACAAAAAAGCTTATCCACTGCACAGAACTGCTTTGAGCTGAATCTTGAGTCTCGAGAGTTCAGAGGATAAAGAGAGCTGAGAGAGGCAGAAAAGTCACTTTGCCTTTCTAGGCCCACTTTCCTCACCTATCAAACAACATTGCTAGACTACTTAACAACTGGTCCCTGTTAACTCCTGAGCCTGCAATTCCAGAGGCCCTGGGACCCACATTTGCCCATACCCAGGCTCCCTAAGCACAGGCTCCATGTCCCTGATCTTTCTGAGCCAAGAGGGCCCTGAGAGATGGTCTCAGCCCATCTCATTTTATAGGTGAGGAATCTGAGGCCCAGGGAGACTTCTGAGCTGCCTCCAGACATTCAGCTATTTACAGGCAGAGCTGAGCCAGCTGATTCGGGCTCCCTGTGTGCCACACTCTTATACCACACTGCCCCTCCTATAGCCTATAGCTCTCACCGCTGGTGGGCAGAGAAGCCTTCAAAGGAAACTGAAGCAGGGAAAGGGGGGACTCGCCCAAGGGGATCCTAGAGCAAGACCAGGGCCCAGACCCTAGGCCAGCCCTGGCCCTAGGCTGGCATAGCAGCTCCTCTGCTCTTTTCACCTCTCCTCTTCCCCTCTTCTACCTCGCCTTCTCTCTTCCTTCTGACTCCTTGTCACCTGCTCTCACGTGCTTCTGCTTGCATCCTTCCATGTTCCTTGGCTGTCCCCTCCCTGACGACATCATTCGCCAGGGGGGTTGGGAGCTCAGGTTGTTGGTGATGAGGAAGGAGGAAAGAGGAAGCCCAGCATCCCCCCTGTCTACCCTCACCACATCCCCTTCCTGGACTAGGTGTCCTGCGGGGTTTGCAGAGATACACTAACTGGGGTTTCTGTAGAAAGCTGCAGGTCAGAAGCTGGAAGACCCAGGCACTAGTCCTGGCTTTGCCACTTCCCCTCTCTGGGCCTCAGCTCGCTTATGTCTAAAATGAGAGATAATCAAGACACCTAAGGCTCCTCTGACTTGCTTCTGGCTGCAAGGGACGCAGAGGGGCCAGGTCTTGGAGCTCCCCCACCCCCTGCCACTTCAGTCAGCACCACTCCTATGTGTTTTATATACTGGGGTCCCATGATCATTTTCTAAGAAACAGTTCCATGGTTTAAAAGTTTTAAAATAACCACTGAATGAGATGCTCTCATATGTTCCCTTCCAGTTAAAAAACAAGTTATGCTAATCATTCTAGAAAAAAGTATAATCCTCAACAGACAGAGAGCTGAGAGGTTGTCCTTTCCTTTCCTTTTTTTCCTCTCTCTTTCTCTCCTTTTTCTCTTTCTTTTTTTAATTCTAAGGAGAAGCAAAATATACCTGGGAACAGAGCTATGAGGTTAGAAAGCTGGGGAAGGTGAATGCGGCATGAGGAGCATCTGAAAACACGGAAGGGGTGTGGGCTTTAGAGGCTGACAAGCATAGGTTTGAATCTTGGTTTTGCCATTCCCTAATCTCGGGCCCAGTACCCTCAGGTACTGTTACCCTTCAACAGTAAACATTTCCTTCTCAAGTTGTTGTGAGACTCGGATGAAATGACATAAGTAAGGCACCTCAAACCATCTCTGGCACATAGGAAACATTCATTTTCATTTTGTTCATTTCATTTTGCTTTCCCAGGCAGATGAAGCAGAGGTGTGCTCAGGTTTCTCAGATTCCCCGGAAGGAACTGCAGGAGAGGGGCCCACGAAGGAGGGACAAACAAGGTGGCAGTGGCTAATGGGATTGTAAGGTGTGGGTTTAGGAACAAGGAAGAGGTAGAAAGGAATGAGGGAGTGGGGAGGGTGGCAGCTGGGTACCCATGGTGTGAAATATTTGTGGCTCAGAAAGCATGTAGCAGGTTCCTGGGCCAGGCAGCCCGCCTGTCAGTGACACTCAGATGAGGAGCCTGCCTGCCTGAAAGTTTAGGCCCCAGGGCCCCCAAATGGGGAGGAGATGCTCCTCAAATCAGGTTCTGATTCTCTTTTAAGCAACCTCAGCTAAAAAAGTGTTTGGCACTTCAGAAGCGACTAGAGTAGAGCTATGGTTTCCCAGAAAGAAATGCATGCATCAAGAATTAAGATACTCAACAGTAGCCTTGTTATTATTAAAACTCCTGATGCCCACAGATAAGAGCCCAGTAATTGGAGTCAGAGGTTTCATTGTCTTATGGTCCTCATTCTGTTTCACGGTCACTGACTTTCACCTTCAAATCTTATCCTTCTAGAGTATTCTTCACAGGGCCTATGACAGGGTATTACCCTCCAATACATGCTGATCAATCAGAGCAAAGGAAAGGAAGAGAGAAGGAAAGAAGCAGCATAAGCGTGAAGAGGCCAGTATAGTAGCAGATTCTGGCAGCCTAACAAATGCCCCTGGGAGGCATCTAGTGGTTCCCAAGCCAGAGTTGCTCCAGCCCACTCAAATGCTCCCACTGGAAGGACTTCAAACACAGTAGATAGAAAACATAGGCCAGAATTTCACACCAACCAGTTTATGCCACATGTCAAATTCGGAGACAAACACACAGAGGAGAACTGACATCAGCCCTCATTTGGGCAGGCTCACACACACTCACTCGTCCTCCTCCCTTCCCTCTCACCACACAGGACCTGTGTCCTGCCCTGAGAGAGATCCATTAGAGTCTCCTGCCTGGGATCAAATGCTGCTGACAGAAGGCCTGGCTGTTAATGCCTTGTGCTTGTCACCTCCCCTCCTCCCTTCTGGCCAATGTCTCATAAGCTAGACATCACGGTTCAAAGCCCTGGCCAACACTACATTAATCTGTCCCCATAGAGGGCACTGGGTAAACTGGGCTCTGCTGAAAGGCAGAGGTTAAAAGGGCCCACTCAGGAGTCAGACTGCCTGGGTTAGAGTCCTGAGTCAATCAGTTTGTTAGCCAAGCTAGTTAACGTCTTTATATCTCAGTTTTCCCATCTGTAAAATAGGGTTGCTAATATAACCTCATAGAGTGGTTGTGAGGATTAAATGAGTTAATGTGGGTGACAGGCTTAGAACAGTGTCTAGCACCGACCAAGCACTCAAAATCCTTAAGCTTGGGTCCTGATTGAACTAGTGTGACTGTAGCTCCCTCTCCCAAGATCAATCATGGAAGAATTATAAAGGGAAAATACCAAGAAATGAAGAAAACTGTGAGAAACCTCTTGGGTGAAGGGGGTCCCCATTTTGAACTGTAATGTGTGGTAGAGGGGTTTGGGGCAGGAGGTAGCCAGGCATGGCTGGGGAAATGATAAAAACGAAAAGGAGCTCTGGGATTCTGATCTCTCTTTTCCTCCACCCTGTCTTAGAACAAACATTGATGCCCTGTCACCGGCATGACTCAAATGTGTGATCTAGGTGCTGATAAGGGCAACATCAGGGCACTGAAGATGTACTGTACTTGTGAGGAGCTGATAAAAAACAGGTAGGGGGCAACCAAACTTTGGACAGTTGTTTCCCCTCTTCATCCCCCAAACCCTCAGGGCAAGTGAAATGCAATCTAAGAAGAGCCTCCCCCTAAGGCTGCTTCTCCCTGGGGGGGAGGGGAGGGGGCGGGGGGCAAAGGGTGAAGCCCTGACATGAGGAGTTATTTTGTGGGGTTCAGCCTGACTGACTTGGGAGTTTTGGTGCCTGGGGTTTTCGATCTTAGGGCTCATTCACCCCCAACCCTCACACCCTGAGCTCAATGGCACTGGTATGCCCTGTTGGACAGA